CTCTTAACAGCATGTATTCCATCATCCATCATCTTTTCATTCCATCAAGCATTTTAATTAAAATTTTTATTTTTATTCCTCTCATCCATTTTGCTAATTGACAACATTTACTTTACAGATGAATGATCAAATTTACATAAATAATATCAGAATATTATAATGGAATACGTATATATTTTATAAAATTATATATAATATCAAAACTCAATCAAGAAATACATTACTTGTTTTTACTATTATTTACATCATCAACAACAGCAATACAGAAAATGAATGGATAAATATATCACGTCGCGTATTACGTGTATTACAACAAAAAAACATATTATACGAAGTAATCACGTTAACCTGAAAATAAAAGTAACATAATTGAGCAAATTGATTTATTCTTATATTTCCGGTATTCCGATATTATATAATTCAAAAAAACGTGAGATGAACAAAGTAGAAGTGATACAAATAGTTGATCCAAATGTACTTTTTATTTTTTTTTTTTTTACAACAATTTTATATTTGTAAAAAATGAAAAGAAGAGAAGAAAGGGTAGCATTTTGAAGGAACAAAGAATGAAAGAAAATAGAAAATGGATGAATTGAATATTTGCGATTCATCAAAAGTATTCATTAATGTTCAATATCCGAAATGTTAGCAGAAAAAAAAAAAGGTTAATGATGAAATGGAAGTGGAAGAAGCAGGAGAAAAGAAAGAAAGACAGAGAAGGAGGAAAGAAAGAAGAGAGAAGAAGAGGGAGAAAAAAAAGAGAAAGATTATTGCAAATATGAATTTTTAACTGAAAATATTGCATTTCTGTAAAGTTTGAATTATAAAGAGTGTGAAATATATGAAGTGAAAAAAAAAACAAAAAGAAGAAAAGAGTTTAAAAAATAGAGAGAATAAAAGGTAAAAAAGAGAGGGAGGGAGAGAAAGGAAGGGTGAAAGAATGAAGAAAGAGAAGGGTTTCAATGAAAGAATGAAGGAAAGAAAGGAGTTCAAAATAAAAAATAGATAGGTAGAGAGAGAGAGAGAGAGAGAGAGAGAGAGAGAAGAAGGAAGGATGGAAGAATGAAGAAAGGAAAGGGTTTTAAAATAAAAAAGTAGATAGAGAGAAAGAGAAAGGGAGAGATAGGGGAAAAATCAGGATAGAATTTTCAAATCCACCAAATAACCCTTGGGGCTTGTTTTCCACTTTTGCTAAATAGATCCAGCCAGGGACAAGAACTTATTTTATTTGATGTGCTTGCTCTTCATTTCTTTTTTTCCCTCCCCTTTTGCTCCTCTTATTAAAAATTTCACTGTTTTGTTACGTCTCTGTCTACTTTTACTTGCTTGAAAATTTAAACTTTCTTTCAAAAAAATTTTTCTGCTTACTTTGATCTTTTGTATGTGTGTGTGTATGTATGTATGTGTGTGTGTGTGTGTGTGTGTG